TTTTATTTAAATGGGATTTTAATTTTAGTGAGGTTTTGACAACTTTTAAAAAGATTTAAGAATGTTTTAAAGTTTTAAAACATTTAATAAAGAAAGAAAATATTCCTCATTTTCCCACAAGGAGTTGTCTCTTGCTGAAGTAAAGCTTTTGCCGTACAGGCAGCCCTCTGGTGACTCATCTAAGTGGCCTCTAAAATTTCACCTGACGAAGGGACCGCGTTTTGAAATCTTGTGATTTCAAACAAATCTTTAATCAGGTGTCATGCGACTTCTAACCTTGTCCACTCCAGTCCAACACTGGCACCTCCTTGTCATGGGGCCTTTAAAATTATCAGAGGGAAACCTGGGCCTGTCCACCAGGACTAACCAGAAAGTACTCAAAGGTCCAATTTCAAATATTTGACATTCTTAAATTTGTTTCTTTTGTCAACTCAAGAATATCTGAATGGAAGATCTGAAAAGAACTTGAAAGTGATATACAATTGCCACCTCCAGTCCCAAAAATAGTTAACCAGCACTCCTACCTTCTGGTAGAAACTCAAACCATGCGTCAATGTTTATTAACCCAACAGTACTTCAAATAATCTATGTTTCAAATAATATGAATATACAATTCTTTTAAGCTTACTGGACTTAACATCCCGATAAATTGTCCTGAATTACAAATGATGTCAAAACAAAACTTAAAATCACACAATATATTTTACTGTAACGTTAATTTCCAATTAATGATTTACAGTGTGACCAATTATTTTCACTGGTTGTAAAAGAGTTGCAGGATGTGGCAGAAGTGTTGCTCATCAAATTACACACAAAGTAGATTGTTAGCTTATCTACTGCATTGAATTTGGCTCCCTTGTCCAATAAAAGTTCAACTATTTCGCAGTTCTGTGGCAACTCTGCGTGAGTGTTCTCTTCCCCAATTTGGCATTAACTGTCGTGCCACTGACTAAAATCAGTAATTGCAGCACTTAGAAACAAATCTGGGAACTTTTTGTGAAGTAAAAGCTAGATTTACACCACGTGGTTCACTTTGCAGTGAAAAAGTTCAACTTGTTAGATTGGAAAGTAAATGAATGCATTCAAAATAAGCAGAACATGTCCCTGTTCACATTAAAATATGTTATTTTCCCAAATGATCATTCCCAGCACTTTGTGGTATTTGCCACCTCTACTAGCATGTGGCACTGTGAGAGGGGGGTTTTTGGTAATTTGCTGCCACCAGTCCTCCTTTGTCCAATCTACTGAATAGTGGTAGAGGGTACACCACCATAGAGTGCCTACAGAAGAGATATTATTCTTAAATAACAGGAAGGTTCATTGCATGATAGCAATAAGTGCAACCACATTTAGCCAAGTGTAGTTACTAGGACTTCAGGGAGCTTGATCTGATCCAACTGAAAGCCAAAGTTGAACTCCTTGTTTGCTTGAGCAGACTTTGTGCGACATCAGCAGAATGGGTAGAGCCAACATTTTCTTGCCAACATTTCTTGTCTAATCAGTGAGTTAGTAAAAGTGATAGTGTTGCAAGCTATCTTGAGATCTGTATTTGGACATACCTGGGCAATGTAACAGATGATTGCTAGAATTGTTGTGGAATGATTAACTTTACAAATGCCAAAGTACTGGAACAAACAGAACTTAATTCATTTAATAGTTATTTACTATGTACTTGGTTTTGAGGTAATATACTAGCAATTGTTTCTTTTGGGCTGGTTAGCTGTCTGTCTAATGTATTAATTTCCTCCATGGGAAAGCTTTATCCGCTGACCAGCCACTTGTCAGCAATGACTCTTTCACCTAAACATCTGATTTAGATTTAAACCATCGATTTCACATTTCAAATCCACAATTAGTACTAATAGCAATAGTGCAGTCCCATGGTAGATTGATGTTAAAACAGCACTTTTTTTTCCTGATGAAAAGATTATGTTCAATGCCAGTTGGCTAAGTAAGTTCTTCTTGTAATCCACAGGTTTTAAACATACCACTTCTTTCTGAAGAGATATGTAGCTTTTCCAACTTGCTTTCAATGAGCACTGTATTTTCAGGATTCTGTTGCAAATTAGTGAGTAGCACAAATAAATAAATATTATCACATGCAATAATGTAATACTCTGAAATTAAGATGCAAAAAAAGGTGAGAAATCTATCAGTATCATTTGTTCAGCTTGCTAGTAGAATGGCCAAACTAGAAAATATAGTTGTATTCTCAAGTGTCCCATAGTTAAACAGTTAAAAAGCAGATTTTGGCTTAAAAGTTGAGTTGCACCAAGATGAGTAAGTCTGACCATTGGACTTTGATAGGCACAGACTCCATTGGCATTTTTGTCAGTAAATATTTCACTTGGGGAAAAACTGATAGTTGCAGGAATAGATGATGCAGCAGGCTCCATTTATTCAATATTAGAACCCTTAATAGAACTCTTCACCTGTAAGATATATTTGAATTATTGCACTACTACAGTTGGGTAGTTCATGGTTACATGTTTACTCCAGAATTGGTCACAATACAACAGAATACGCTCATTAGCATTTGATGATGTTTGATTAATTAAATGTTCTCACAATGCTGTATTTCTTAGGATAATATCGTTAGCCACAAAGCCTCTAATTCAGTAAAAGATTTATTCTCCCTGAATGGTTAAGGTTTATTAACCCTTATGGTCAACTACTTTGAGCAGCTGCATATTTAAAAGGCATAAGCACTTTCAAACATTGTATATTGAATAAATACTAGTGAACCACTGAGTGAATATTTATATTTTTGTGTAGCAGTGAAGTCATTTTTAATTATGTCTTAATGGCCAGTGTCAAATCAGTCCCCTGATTTCACCCCACCCCATCCAACCCATCAAGTGTGCATGCTGGAAAATAGGACCATATCAAATAATAGTAGCTTTAAATGTTCAAACAAAAGCAAAGTACTGTAGATGCTGAACATCTGAAAGAAAAATACGAAGTTTTCTGAAAAACAGTCATGATGGCCTCGAAACATTAACTTTGTTTCCTCTGTCCACAGCTGGTGTTTGACATGCTGAGTTTCTCCAGCACTTTCTGTAGTTTTAAATCTAATTAGCTTCACTCGTTATTTTACCTTTTGAAATTTTACTTATCTGAAACCAGAACATTGCCCGTCATAAATTAACAACATTCAAACTTGTTCTTTCTTTTCCTCTCAGTATGGAGTATTGTGAGAACTACAAGACCGATAGGGAACTTTAGCTAGATGAACATCTTTATACAGGAGGCAAGATACTGGGAGTTTGCAGCCTAGGCACCTGAGGCATAGTAACCAAGCAGTATTCTGTCCCCATGTAGTTGCTTCCTTTGTGCATTTCCCAACAGGCCTCAGCAAACCATACACTGAAATAACTCCAAAGAGGCCGGTATCCCATTACCAAATCACCCTTTATTTACACGTGGAGAGTGTTTGACACTCCCTCAGAGCCAGCTCTCAGAGTGAATAGGATGTCTGACACTCCTGTTTGTGTCTGTCAGCCAGGGCTCCCTGATTGGACCAGATTAACAGCCCCATCCAGGGAACTCATATTCTATGAGGTTCACCTGGCTGACCCCTACAATCACTACAAGTACAGTAGCAGAAATATTGGCAAACACTCGCTGTAATTATATGGCCAAAATGCCCAACAGACGCAGGCGGAGCATCTTAAATTTTGTAAATTGGGAGTGGAATGTCAATGGAATCTAAATGTACACCTAACATAGGCACCAGCAGAGAAACTGACGTAGTCAGGTCAAGGCAACCATTGAGAGCACACAGAAACAATTCTTTTTTGAGTTAAGGAGGAAGAGGAAGGTTACAGATCTGCATGATTTGATACACCTCCCCCCACACCCATCCCAATTCCCTCCAGATATCTTGATGCAGGCAGGCAATATGCAAGTTCCTAAACAGCTCGCTGGCTTGCTGTTCCGTTTTGTGTAAGCAATTAGACCAAGGACAGGAGAGGTATTGAGTTTTGGCTGCTGAAGGAACCGACAGTCTCTCTCTCTCTCCAATAAAATATCCAAAGCCAAAAGAAAGACAGTTTATTTTCGCCTGAAAATTGCTGTAAACTATTGCTTTTAACCAACAAATCAGATATTTTATAATTCATGAACCAGACACTCTGTGCCTTCTGTGAATAAATGTGATAATCTGAAGGAAAAGATCAGAGAACTGAAGGACTTGAGAAGCAAAAGGAACACTCCATCGAATCCTGAGGACTGGTGTGATTGAACTATTCACCAGTATTTTTCTTTCATCCACCCATAGCACAGATTTTGTTTTTTTTTGTATGTGTGTCGGGGAGTGTTTTAGCAGGGTATTCGAGTTTTAAGTAGTAGAGTTATATGTTGACAGTTCATTGTTGTTTATCTGTGATTAGAATTTATTTTATTTGTAATAAGTAGAAGTTCTTGTCAGGTACAGAAACTTGGTCCATATTTCCTGTTAATCTGAGTCTATCCTACAGATAAGTTGGGGACTTGTACTTTGATAAAGCTTTTACTTTCAATATGACTCAGGGAATACTAGTTCTTGATTTCCAGAGCACTATCTCAGTGTGGTTTGACAGTCCGTTGGAGCAAGAGAATGAATTTTTTAAATCACTGACATAGCAACCAATGTGCATTACTTTCCACCATTGGGTGAGTGGGCTGGTGAAAGAAGCAGCGAAGGGAGCAGAGAATGAGGCAGCAAGCAAGCCAGTCAACAAAGCAGAAAATGGAAGAGTGAGGGAAGAGGCAGCAACAATGAGCACACCACTTCAGGTTCCAGTGTGGTGCAGTTGCACAATGATGACGTCAATGACTGATGTCCTGTTCAAATGCATTGGCACGCAATACACCATTTTCCCAAAGTAATGATAGTTGTTCCCCAAAAACTCTTCTCTAATTGACAACACACTCTTTGGTGTTTATTGTGCTGAGGATGAGACCAGAATATATTAAATGTTAACTTTGAGTTTGAATTTGAACTTTATGTTCTGTTTCAGGAAACAACACAAAGACGAGTGCCTTGGCTCATGAAGAGATCATGAGCCTAGACAATGGACGGTTTCCAGCACTGGAACTCAACAACAGACGACTTTCAGTGAAGAATTCCTTCTGTAGAAAGAATGGCATCTACAACAGGTAGCTACCATTGCTCACAAATTTTAAAAAAATGTTAAGTGTCATGAACTGATAGTTGAGTAAAGTAAGATTAAGGGACTGGTTTAAAATTAGGATTGCCATTCTGTGCCAACTCCAAAACAAATATAAAATGAGTCTGGTGGGGATTTGGGGGGGCAGGCATTGCTACATAATATTTAAAAATTGCATGTATTGAATCAAATTACTTCATTGATGCCCTGATTATGTGGACCCAACACTTAGTAGCAGGTACATTTATTTCTTTACAATTTCTCTCTTTCTGTGTTGAGAGATTTTCAGATACTTACACATTATCATGTTTTCTTTGGATTAGTTGTAATGCTTATGCTTCCCTACTGTAGCTCTGTATTTGTATTATATTTTGTATCCTGCTTTTGTATTTGTTCATTTGGAGCCACTGACATGTTTTCCAGTATCATCTGACCACTTTTTATGATTTTTATTTATGTTATTTTTCTGGAATGTCTTGCTATTTATGACTGATTTAATAGTTTTGCTACATTAAATTATGTATTTATTATTGCTACCATCCCTAGTTCTTATATTTATTTGAAGGTAATTACATGTCATATTTTACCATGTTGCTGCCTCACATGCAAAATCTGATGGTATTAGATGAAGTTCCTCAACTCCATCAAGCCTAGTTGCATATAAAAAAAAGCCTGAACTCAGCTGTCGCTGGTTTGTACCTTAGACTACTTTGTCTGAGGCAATACTGCACAGTTCATGAATCATGCACCACTTCATCAAAAGCCACTGCCAGTGCAATTTGAAAATTCTCCATTAAGTTCTGTGATGGCAACTACTCTCCTTTCTGATGACATTGAGTTTATTTTCAAAGTCTTGATCATTTTCGAAACATGGGAACAGTGGAACCCAGTTAAATTTCATATTTTACTGTAAAACCTTGAATACCAAAGAATGAAAGTCTGAACAGAATAGCAGAACTCCAAATTGTCGCACTTGAAAATTATTATGTAAAAATGGAGTGTTAGATCAAAAACTGGACATGTTGCAACTCAAGATGAGTAAAAATCTTATAAAGTTCTGCATTCACATTCTTTATTATGTTGATTCGACCTACAAGACTATAATTGCAAACTAGAATCGCAATCAACATGAAAAATCATCTAGAAAGTGAAATAAAATCTAACTGCTGGTGTGTTTATTGCTCAAAATATTTCTTTGCAGAAATCCCAGAATTCAAAAGGAAATGAAAATTTGATGTTTTTCAAATGTGAATTTGCAGTGATGAATCATATGTTTACCAAAGATCACATGGCTCCTGCCCCCACTTTTCACTCCATCTGTCCTTTGAGTCGTTTTCATGACATTTGCTTTGAACTTGGCCTTCTATTTTGTAGATCAAAAATGGAATGTATGTTCAGACAATATTATGTCATGTTGTTGAATATAATTCTTACAATGTGCACACAGTAGGTACAGCCTGCTGATACACTGTTTTTTACTTTCTTTTAAATGCATGTGTACCAGAACCTGACTACGAGTAGTATTGTATCACATTGGCTGAAAGGTCTGTGGCTAAATTTCGGTTCCAGTTCACTGATCTCAGGTTAAGCTGCATTTAGATCCTACTGTTAGCCCATTGGTGGCCCTGGATTAATAAGAGAAAATTCTATCAGATTTTCAAAATCACCTGCAATCCAGTAATTTTCCTGCTGGAAAGACATAAATATTAATCTTTTGTGAACCAGTATTGGACTTGGTTGTTATAGTCTTCTTTGTTGAGTAAGAGCAGAAGATCTAGGAGCAGGAGTGGGCCATTCAGTCCTTTAAACCCACTCTGTCATTCACAGAGGTTATGGTTGATGATCTACTTCAATTTGCTGATACACACAGCTAAGCTCCATATACGACTATTAGAAATTAGGAACGTGCTTGAGAGCTAGAATGGAGCCATATCTCAATGAGAATTCAAACCTTCAGGAGAGAATGGAGGAAGCTGATAGTTAATAACGAGTTGGAGTTCCCTTTCAAACTCATGACATTGCACTAAATCTTAAATGTGTCCAATGAAAATGACTTGAAGGGTACCTGGCATGAGAGCAGGAATACAGGTCATGTTGTTTATGCTGAGATTATCATCTTTTCTTCTGCCGTGGTAAGGCCAGCCTGCTGTAGAATAGGATATCTCAATTAGCAGGGTAATCCCATTGGTGCTTTTAAATTCATTTCTGTAGCAAAAATCTGAAATAAGTTCAGTAAAATTAATTGAACGCCTGTACACTGTGAAAAATTTCTTGATCAATAAAAATCCCAAAAAAAACCTGGGAGACTGTGCTTCCTTTTCTTCGTAAAATGATTCACAAATGTTCCTGGCACTTCTAGTACCTGGATGAAAATTAATTTCAGGGATATCTGCCTAAAAAAGCTCATTTAATTAATATAAATGAAATTGGTGATTGGTCAATTTTTTTTCCAAATGTTAATCAAATTGAATGTCACTACAGCAACTTGTATATATTGTGTATTTAACACAGAACAAATATCTCAAAGTGCTTTACAGGTTAGCAAAATGATACTGGAAAAACTGAGCTAATAAACTGAGTTTTAAAGACTTCTTCAAATGAGGAGAAGAAGCAAAAGAGAGTGAAAGGCTTAGGAAAGAAATTCCGAAATCTCTGGCCCAGGTGATGAAAGGAATGACTGCCAATGGTGGGATGAAAGGAGGAGAAGCCGTCCCAAAGGCAAAAGCAAGAGGAATGGAGAATTGTTTGGTGGACAAAAGTAGATTGTAAGCGTTCAAAAGTTCACAGAGCTATGGAATGTTAAAACTATGAAAGACTTTTGGCATAGGTGAGAAATTTAAATTAACGGCATAGTGAAACCAGAAACAAAAATATCACCAAGATCATGGTTGAGGAGTGAGCAGGACCATGTGTAAAACATAAGCAGAAAAATTTTGAATAATCTAAATTTTACAGAGGCTTTTGACTGTCCAAGGGAACACAAAAACTTGAATGTGGAAGTGACAAAAGTAACAGATGGGATAAGGCAGTAGCAGAATTGGGGATGTAATCGAGGTGAAAGTTAGCATTAGGCACGTTTGCCTTCATTGTTCAGACCATTGAGTGTTGGAGTTGGGACATCATGTTGAAGTTGTACAGGATGTTGGTGAGGTCACTTTTGGCATACTGTGTGCAGTTCTGGTACATTGGAGAGTGTTCAGAAAAGATTTACCAGAACGATGCTGGGACCTGGGGGGTGGGGTGGGGGTTTGGTGTTTGAGTTATAAGGAGAGGCTGGATGGGCTGTGACTTCTTTCACTGGAGCATGGAAGGTTGAAGGGTGACCTTAGAGAGGTTAATAAAATCACAAGGGGCATAGATAAGATGAATAGCAAAGGTCTTTTCCATAGGGTGGGGTAGTTTAAAACTAAAGGACATATTTTTAAGGTGAGAGGAGAAAGATTTAAAGGAGACCTGAGTGGCAACTTTTTCACACAGAGTGTGGTTCATATGTGGAATGAACTGCCACACAAAATGATAGATGCAGGTATAATTACAACATTTAAAAGTCATTTGGACAGATACAGGAATAGGAAAGGTTTAGAGGGATATGGACCAAATGCAGGCAAGTGGGACTAGCTTAGTTTGGAAAACGTGATGGCATGGGCGATTTGGACTGAAGGGTCTGTTTCCCGTGCTGTATGACTCTATGACTCTCGGCCATTTAATCCTATGAGCTTGTTCCACTATCCAATGAGATCGCAGCTACTCTGTGACTTTACTCCATGTTCCTCTTTTCTCCCCAAATCTCTTCATTGCTTTTCTTTCGGTCTAGCATCAGCTGCCATTTGCAGGAAAGAATTCCACATTTCTACCATATTTCATGAGCAGATGTATTTCCTAATTTCACTCAAGAAAGGTCTGGCTCTCATTTTTAGACTATTCTGCCTAACCCAAACTTCCCAATTAGCTCCCTACCCCATCTGTTCCATGAAATCATCCGTTAACCATCTAAATTACAGGAAATACAACTGTAGTTTACATAATCTCTCCTCATAGATTAAACCTTAGAATCCAGGTATCAATCTAGTAAATCTGCCCTGCACTCCCTTCAAACACAATGTACTTTTGCTGAAACATGGTGCTCATTCCTGATCAGGATTCCATATGTGACCTAAGCAAAGGTGTGAACTGTTGCAGCATACTTCTACCCATTGTTTTCTAAACTAATAAAATATAAAAGACTGGATTCTATTAGTTTTTTTGATTGTTGACTATGCAATGGCATTTTAATGATCTAGGGGCATGGACCCCAAACCTCATTAAACTCCACTGTTTCTAACTTTTCACTGTTTAGAATTTACACTGTTCTATCCTTTGTAGGACCAAAGTATATGGCTTTAAAATTACACATTGAATTTATTTGGCCATAGTTTTGGTTATTCAATTAACTTAACAGTGCCACTTTGTAATTTTATCCTTCTACCTACATTACTTGCCACCTCTACTGTATCTTCGATACAAATTTGGAGTTGTGTTTCCCTATTTCATCGTCCAAGCTACTAATATTATGGTGAATATTTGAGGCCTAAACACAGATTTTTGTTGGATTCCACGGTCATTATTATATCTACCTTTTGCCTCAATCCCCATTTGCTGACACTCAGTCTGTTTCCAAACTAATAATTTTCCTTCAATTCTATGAGTTTCAACTTAAACTAACAGTCTTTTATTAAGAACATTATCAAATGCTTTCTGAAGTCCATATAAATAATATTCATGCACATTTTCCAATGTACTACTTGTTTCATCTTCAAATATTTTCAGGTTCAGCACGCATGACTTAGCCTTTACACATCCATGCTGGTTCCTCCCAGTCAAAATTTTCAAGTTGTTAATTCACTGCTTCCTTAATTATAAACTACAGTGATTTCCCAACAAAAGCTGTAGACTAACTGGTATGTAATTTCCCAATTTCCCCCACTGTCTATCTTAAACAGAAGAGTAACA